GCTGCTGGAAGTGTTTTCCACCTAAATTTGAACAGTTCAATCGATTTGTTTTAACGTCCTTTTCACATACAATCTATTTTATAAGAAATTTCGTTGACAACAAACAGTGTCGAGAAGAATCATGATTATCACTTCCAGATTACTTATACTAAATAACTTCTTTCTTATCAATACTTTTTTTTACCTGAGACGCAGCCAATAAAATCAAGAATATAGTGAACTTGTACATGATGATACTTCAGTTTGAATTAAACCTATATTATTTCGACGTTATTTATATAGGAGCGTGTGTTATTTAATTGGTAGTTTATCAATTAAAAAATAATAATATTTTTTAAATTTGTGGTAACGAGCAAACGATAAGAGTCGCAATTATTATTTTAATATGAGTCATATTTTAGTCATTAAAAATGTCATATTTTAGTCATTGTAATGATGAAATGATCTCCCATCTGATTACTTGTATTTGACTCCTCCCCTTGCAACAACAACTCCACCTTTGACAATGTCCATGACTTCGCCCAGTGTTTGGCTCCACCCAATCTACCCTTTTCTAATTTTTCCACAATTACCACTTACAAAGATGAAAACTGAAAACCAAAAAATTACATTGTAATGATGAAATGATCTCCCATCTGCTAACTTATATTTGACTCCTCCCCTTGCAATAACAACTCCACCTTTGACAACATGTCATAGATGCCCAGTGTTTGGCTCCACCCAATCCACCCCTTGCTACTATTTTCTTCTTATCTACCACTGATTACTTATATTTGGCTCCTCCCCTTGCAACAAGAACTCCACCTTTAACAACATCCATGACTCCGCCCAGTGTTTGGCTCCACCCAATCTTCCCTTTTCTAGTTTTTCCACAATTACACATCTACCACATAAAAGCTTGAACTAAAATGAATATTTTTGTGTTATCTTTTGAGATTAATTTATCAATATCAATTTAGACTCTAAATTTTAGAGCATTATCCCATATGCGTCCTTGATGTTCTTCATTACCTCAGCAATGAGTTTTTCGGCTTTGAATTGGTCTAAGGATTCATTCAATATGCTATAAAGTCTATGCATTTACCAAAAATATGAGCGAAAAGTTGAGAGATAAACACAAGGCATGAAGATAGAAACAAATAACATTGTTTCATTGTTACCAAATATAAAGCATGAAAATCCCTTAGAAATTTCATAAGACTTTTTATTGATAAATTACATTAAATGTTTATAGTGAATTCTACAGAAGAATTACAAAAATTTAACGATTTTTTTATTTTATGACGATAAAAGTTTTCATTAGCCGAATTACTTTATGACTGTTCATAGATGCACGCATTAAGATTGAAGTAATAAGGATAATGGTAACCTGCAGGTGTTTTTTTTTTAAATTACTCAAAGTTTATTGATTAAGCGACGATTGCTAAATAGACAGTAGATTTATTTGATTTTTTTTCTTTTAATTTCAATTAAGAAAAACATGTTTCACATTTGTACAATTTGCGATATTATAATTTTTACCCTAAACTAGAAAAAGACAAATTGACAGAATTTATAAATCGATGTGTTTTTCAATGTTCAATGTCGATGATATTATCAGTCACACTATTGAATACGGATGTTATCTGGAAGACAATAGTGGAAATGATGTTCTCAACGCCCGCAATCAATGTCTTCAAAAATTTACAAAGTGTTAGCGTAATTGGGAGGCCCTTTCTAACGTCCATCTTCAGTCCTTCGATCAGCTTTTTTTGGGTGTCTTTGAAAGACCTGATGATTTGTTTTCTTCCAGACGACAAGGTAAAAATGATATTCCTCTCGAGATTCAATCTTCCTTCAAGATATCCTCCTTTCAGGGTCTTCGATCCGTCTAGGACACCGCCAACGAAGTCCTTAACTCTTCTCAAGACACCGTCAATATCCTCCTTGACACCGTCCACGACATCACCGACTGCATTGCCCAAACCGTCGACGATGTTCGTGACTCCGCCCAACGCTCCGCCCACTA